CGGGGGGGGGGGGAAGAGAAAGAGAATGTCAAGCAGGCTTCACGCTATCAGTGCAGAGCCAGACACGGGGCTCAAACCCATGAACAATGAGATCATGACCTGAGCCAAAACCAAGAGTCAGATGCTTAGCCAACTGAGCGACCCAGGTGCCCCAAAGACAGATCTTTTAATCACATCGATGACTTCCTTCTCTTATCATATTTCTTATTCTGCCACATGAGACAGAATACTATCGGTAACTATTTTAAGATATAAGAGTAGCCAGCAGGGGTGGGTGGGTGGACGGACGTAGTCTACATTAGATATGCAGGTACCTTACTTACTCAAAAACTAAAAGATCTGTAGGAATGGAGTTCTAAATGCCTGTTTATTAATAATTTTATTCGTGTAAGACCACAGTTACATGTTTATCAAATATATACAACTGCTTCTGCATTAAGAAATAACACAAATGACTTGAAATTTAATAAGTATGACCAGAAACTCAATTCTTCCCACTCACTTACCTTGAGAGGCGGTACTTTTCGCACCTGGATCCTGTCTGCTCTACTGAGAAAGGGCTGTGGCGAGACGTGAAATGGCTGCTGGTGCTGGCGATTCTCAGTGACACGCGGCCTTTTCTCCCAGCTCACAGGGGCCTCTTCTTGGAGAAGACAAGATTTCCTCTTAAGGCTCTCTGGGCTGTGATCGGTCAGAGCTGATGGAGGTTCTTTCATACTGGTCTCCTGTGGACCTGTTTCCACTATGGGCTTCATTCCTGGCTTATCCACCCCAGGACTCTTGGGTTTGTTTGGGGACGTAACTAAAGCTCCCTGGCTTTCATCTTTGTTGTAATTAGAAACTGTAGTGAGATGATTCTCTTTCTCGGACTCCTGTTCAACAGAGGCAACTGGCTTCTGCTCCATGAGCTCATCATCCTTAGGGCACTTGATGGGAACAGTGCCGCCAAGCTCTTGGGTATTGCTTGCTGAGGACAATAGGGGCTCTGTGGGCTTCGAGTTTGGCGGCACCAGATCTTGGCTTTCATGCTCTTCCTTCCTTACTGGGGATGGTGCTTGTGCCACTTCTTCTTTAGACTCTAACTGGGGAATCACTGGGACTGTACTGGCAGGTGAGGCCTCTGAAGGAAGCATGGATTTTGGTTGCTCTGCTGGGGTTTTCTTTACTTTGAGATCACTGGGCGAGGCTGTTAATTTCTTTGAATCCTCAAGGCTCAGGCCAGAACTAAAAGGTGGAAGAAAAAAATATTCTAGTTGAGAAATGGCTCGTGTTATTGAAAGCATTATGAGATAATAGTATATGGCAATGCCTAGAAGGAACCCTGACACATAGGAGGTATTCCTCACATGTTATCTTCACTATTATCATCATTAGTGAAGCTCTGGAGTTCGAGTGCTTGGATGCAAATCCTGGCTCTGATAAGATCCATGTGAAATTGAGTAAGTCACTAGCCTTCTGTACCTCACTTTCTTCAGTTATATACTGAGATTCATCACTTGATACTATTGGTGTTATTAAGTTAATGCATGTCAAGTACTTAGAACAGTGCCTAGCACATATTAAAGCTCAATAATGTTAATTATTATCATTACTTTTGCATGTAAGAGGGGCTACCTTGTCTAGAAGCAAGCATCACAGACTACTCACAAGGGAAGTGAAAAAAGGCCAAGACCCACGCACCCTGATCAACTCTGCTCTGCAGCACCTGAGAAAGGCTGGCCCAAGAAATCTAAGGGCCCCTGAGGAGACAGGAGTTGGCTGTCAACACTCTCCAAGCATTGAAAATTAGAACTTGGGAGTTTCTGGAAAGCCTGTTTAAACTTCATTTAGTATAGTTCTATAATTCCGAGACCAATGCCTCTGAGCTATCCCAGGAGTGAACTGATAAGACTTCCATAGTGTGGCCTAGAGCTAAGCTACTCAGTAGGAGTCACTAGAGATTCCTCCTAATGTTTTAGAATATTGTTTAAACAGGCAAAAGCAAGGCACCCTCTTTGGTGACTTCAATCAGGACTGCACAATGGCTAACAACAAAACTATACAATACCAAAAAACAGTTCTTCTATAAAAGCTGGCAAAAAATAAGAGCTAAAAACAGAAAAACCCAAGAATTGCTACAATGCTCTATCTGCCTAAGGAGGGAGGGCTCAGAGCTCATACCAAGAGTGGAGAAATATCAATATGTGAAACTCTTTTTCTTTTCTTTTTTTTTTTTAAAGATTTTAAGTAATCTCTATACCCAACGTGGGGCTTGAACTCACAACCCCAAGATCACGAGTTGCATGCCCTAATACCTGAACCAGCCAGGCGCCCCAATAAGTGAGACTCTGAATCTCAGGAGGAATTACTTCCTAAGTGACCATAAAGGGGATCAATGAACTACTTGGAGATAAGGAAAAGAGCCATTAGTTCTCAAACTGTGGGTATGAGTGTTCTTAAGGACTGCCATTAGGTATGCAGAAGGAAAGAAGGGAGCCAAACCAACAGAATCTGGATGTTCAATTCTACTTCGAACAATACAGCTCCACTGCCATCTATTTAAATGTCCCCTTTAAAATTTTATTTGGACTTTTTGTTAGGAAAAAAAAAAAAATTTTAGACAACATATCCTTGAGAACAGGGTTTGTATCTTGATTCAGCTATGAATATCTCCCAGAGGGCCTTATACAGAGAAGAAACTGTTTAATGATGCACTGGGCATAATGATCCATATTATGGGATTCCTCAGTGATTCCGGATAAATTATCATCTTGTGGGATGATAATTAACTACTAGAAAAGATGTACAGGATTTCAGTATTCTCTTAACTTATAAAGTCACTGGAAGAACTATTCACCCTATTCAAAGAAAGGGACTCTAATTCAAGATAACACTTTTTTTTTTTTTTTTTTTTTAAATAAAACCATCCCACCCACAATAGTAATGTGTTAAGAGTCAAGTAATCCAATTCTGGGCACCCATGACTCATAAAAAGAAAATAATTCTTCCTAAAACAGAATTGGTGAAAAAAATAGAAGGAAATTGAGGACCAGATTTTCTAGAAAGGTAGTAAGATGAAACACTGTGTGACATATATGTAGGAATGAACATTTTGTTTATGGAACCTGTCTTGATATTACCTCTGACCATAGTAGCTTTCAAAGAATTGTTCTTTCCATGGCTCTACTTTTTTCTCCTTCTCAATCTCTTGTCGAATTCTCACCTGCATCTCAGGTGTAAACTCACCTATAATGTACCAAAATAAAATAAGATAAAATTTTTAAAAAGGATACTCAATAGAAATATGGTGTTTCCATTTTTTAACTTTGCAGATTACAAAAGACTCGTGCAGGAGTCAAAATACCATCATGTGAAAATAACAGAAATTTCCCAGAATTCTAACAGAAATTTCTCAAAATTCCTCACTGGAAGGGAGCAGCTAAATGCCATCAGGTGAAATAAAAATACTTGTGCACCACTCCATGCAGTTTTCGGTCTCAGCTGGGCCACTTGTGCCTTTTCTCTGGGCTTTCCTTGTAGCACCTCCCTCCAACACCAAACATCATTTCTCTACAGATTTCCCTTATCACTAACCTTGAATGTTTAATTTCCACTGGAAATTTGATATGACTCTCATCATATGTTTTCAGTAAATAATGCCACTGAGTATTTTATTATTTTAAAGCTCTGTTTCTCTGAGGCGACTTGTATTTTATGCCCTTTATCTCCTACTGCATAATGAACAGCTATGGCCCCGCTCAGAGGCATTTGAGGCTCCAGTAAAAAGAGAGGGAGCTATTTAGGAGTTGCCAGTTTTCTAGCTGTCCCAGAAATTGTGCCACTCTAGCGCCTTGGCGAGGAGGCATTCAACATGTCAAACACCCAGCTGCTCGGAACATGACAGTTACGTGCACATACTACCAGCCGCCTTCAGTCCTCCCACTCCATCAGCAGAGAACCGTCCAATGTGCTGGGTAGGCCACCTTCAAGCTGCGGCTTGGAAACATTGCTCTCTGTTATATTCTACCACCCAGGACACCAAGGAGTAAGAGGTAGCAATGGTAGACGTGAAGTTGAAGGTCTCTTGGGGGTAAGAAAACGGAAAGGGAAAGTGTCTGAGGACACAATCCTGGTCATATAAGTAGGAAAAGAGGAATCTGTCTGCCGGAATCCAACGGAGAACTACTTTTTTGTTGAGTCCACTGTGCATGACAGAATGAGGAACAGAAAGTACTGCATTCTGTTCACACGTGTACAAAGTTTTTGCTGCTCACATGACTCTAGGTATAGCAGTGACTGCTCCTATGCAGTTAACACTGCTAATAATAGTTAACACCAATACTAATCAAGGTATCACTATCGTTAACATCTACTTCAAAAAACTAGCGGTTGGGCAGGGTATAAGCCCTTTACCAAATTCTTCTTTTTTTTTTTTTTTTT